TTCATTTATATAGTGCTCTGTGAACACAAATTAGTTAGCATAAATCAGTTAAATGACGAAAAATTAGGTGTCTATTTACTTGTGCCCACGCTGTGTATATATTTACTTTTCACTTAGATATTTCTCTTGTGATTCAGGTTCAATGACAACCAGGTAGGTTCCTCCAAAATGTCGTTGGACTTTCAGTTCTGTTAGTCTTTTTTGTATTTTTATTACAAAACCTAAAATACACTGATTTCAAATAAAAATAAAACTTTCCTTACTGTGTATTCTTCGTGCTGTTTAGTCTTTCATTATAGCAGACAAGTCTTAGCGCACTGTATATCACATCGTCGTTTTTTACACACAGGATAAGCATTGTGAATGACATCCTAACTTGAAAATTTCAGCGAATGACATTGAACTATTACTTAGAATGAACGTTCATTTATCTCAGTCCTGTCAAATGGATTGAATGTTCTATGTGTGTGAATGAAGATAAAAAACTAAACAAAAGATAGTGGACTTATAGAACTTCAATCTAATTTAAAATGAAGTTTGTGAATATGTTAATTTAAGTGCGTTATATATATATATATATATATTGCACTGAAAGATTGCGCTATCCGACAGAACAATAACCAACTTAAGCTGTCTACAGAATTATTTTTGTCTTATTTTCATGCACTCCATGGTTCAGTCCCTATGAAAAAAATTGGGTTTAAATTAAACATGAATATCTTTGTTTTCAGACAAAGAAGCTAAGCAAAGACAACTGTTGTGGTATGAAAACATCTAAGAAACAGCATTTTTATATGTTTGTTTTGGTTTTCCTTCTACCATACGTTTTTGTTGTTTTAAACTCTGATGTTTTGCATTGGTATAGCCCAAAATACGAATATAATTACTATCATTTGAATCTCATATCTAATTAATTGTTGAAGGAAGCTGGTGCAAGTCTGTCTTCCTTAAATAAATAGGAAATGGGTGACTTATATTAGCTGAGTAACTGTCATCAAATAGAGATTCAGATATAGAATGACCAAAAGGAAGTAAAAACAACCATATAGTACAATTAAGTTGAATTACTTTTTAATCATCAAATAAGATAGAAGAACAAAGATTAATTTAATAAATGCTAATATATGCAAGAGTTAGCCTTGTTTTCTATTCGATTTACTTTTGTTTAGGGTTAGTGATAAGTGGTATAATTCTCCAAAACCTAAATCACTGAGGAAAATATGAAACGAATGATAAAGTGCATGGCGTCACGATTCATTCTCGACTTAGTTTATAATTTTGGTAATAAGAGAAATAAATTACATGACTGGTAACTGTTGATGTATTTGCTAGCTGATATTGCTTTTTAATTATCGTAATATTGTTATTATGAATAAGATTGGTAAGTATTGGAAAGTATGAAAAATGTCAGGTATTTAATTAAGGATATCTCTGCCATGTTATGTATGACAAACAAATTTGAAGGAAGAAAAAAGCATGACCAGTAATTGTTTGGATATCTAGAGTAACGTTAAGTGTGAGGATAGTAATTATCAGTATATGAATTGTAAGCACAGCTATTTTTGGTTAGTGAACTTCAAATGTATTTGTAACTTGACTAGTGGTTGCATGAAAAATAACCATATTTGTCAGGTAATCATGCACAAATACTAGTTAATACATGACTTACATTGTGGAGAAATGTACCCAGTGTCTAACAATTGTTATTATAAGCGTAATAACCATATGTCTATTCGTACTTATGTATGTAGTCATGGTCTTTAACTGAAAAATACTGAGAGATGTCTGAATATGTCCCCAAAAGGGGGCCGATGGCCGCCCGACTTTACCAGTCACACCAATATACAGTATTGTGTTGTCTGTCAGTCATTCACTATACACTAAAATGACGTCACATAAGGGATGCTTAATGTTGCAGTTTGAACTGTCGTGATGTCAGTAAAATGTACACATGCCACAAATCAGGATAAGAATTATGCATCTGTAGGCTACAACAGAGCATGACATATGAACTTCAAAAGCAAGAAATAAAAATATTTGTTGCTCTTAATTTTGGTTTTATTTACCCTTGAAAGAGAAAACTTTCGGGGACTCTCCGGAAGTACATTTAGTTATTAATAATATTAATAATAATAGTTATTAATATATGTCTAAACATTATTAGTCATGTTTTTGCATTGTTATTATTGATGTTGGTATCATAGTTAATGTATAATGTCCCATGTCTTAAGTGAATTCTATACTCGACAAAGAGTAAATTAACACTGTAACTTGTGTACGTTTTTTGCATTAGTTTTAGTTTGGACTAAACTTTACCGTACTTAATACTATCAGTAAATAAGCTTATAATCTTTTTCTACCACCTATCGTTAGATCCTTTTAGAAGCTTTCATAATCTTTCATTATGTTGTTGTACAAATGTCTACTAAAGTATATTTATATCCGTCTTTTGTTTATATCCATTGAAATAAGTGTGTGCTCATGCGCATTTAGATAGTAAGGTGCGCGCGCATTTTCAGGACAAACAAAAAACTGAGTATTATTATGTAGATATTGTTTGGCGTTTTTTTTTGTTTATATGATCTAAAACCTGTTTATGAAAGAAATGTTTATAAATTATCATATTTGATTTATCCTTCAGTTGTTCTACCTGATAAAGATGTCTGTGGCTTCTTACCACATCAGCCTTGGGACAGCCGCTTTTGGTAAGTACTCGGATTTTCAGTTCTCACGTATAAGAGTTAAAACTTTAGATAGAAACAACATCATTGTTTTACTTAAGTAATTCAAGTAAGCCTACGAATGGTAACCTTTGTTTATGTAATTCGTCTTTGATATTTCTTTCATTTGCATATTTTTTTTAGTATTAAGTTAAGCGTTGGAACCTAGTTTAATAAATTAATAAAAAGATACACAGCAATTATTAGTAGAGCTATTTGTTGTAAGTACGCTTAATAGTTGTGAACAATATTTTAACCATTTGAGAGTCTAACATGTAAAAATATTGCTAAATAAAATAATAAGCATTAACATTTCTAGAACTTTGATGATAATTTTTACAATAGATTATGATATCTTTTATGAAGATACACTGATAGTTGCAGGTTATTTATCTTTCCTTATATATATATTGTAAATTTGGTTAATATGTGATGCATAAAATAATTTCCATTAATACAAATAATCGTTATTTTAGGAAACAACTGTGCCCTTTTTGATAACTGATTATTACACTAATATCGTACTTTTGTGAATGTATTTAAATAAATTAGAAACAAAAATCAAAATTTCATATCATTCAATAAAATCAACAAAAACTCACTACAAATGAAACCAAGAATTAAACGGTAGTTGCCTTATATTCAAAACTGGAGTTAAAATTATATAATTAGAAATAAGAGGAGTGAAGTTTAGCATCAGGAATTTCACTTGCAATTACATCATTAAAGTACAGGAATACATTTTTATAGATGTATTTGAAAAAGAACATGCAAACTTGTGGTGTTAACACATTTCTCACTTATTTTTAATCTTAATTGGTTTTACAGTGGCTCAATTGGTATTGCATACAAACTTTATTTTAACAAATATATCTGGTCTTTATTACTTGACTAGCGTATAGCCCGTCAAAAATCACGGGGCAAGTACTACCATCCCCACTCCCACCACATAATATACCCTGTTGTAACAAAGGAACAGACTGTCTGCATTACAGTCATAAAACTATGCTTTGTCGTAATAAATGAAGAGGATCACATTTCAGAGCTAACTGAAATAAGTAAATTTTGCTTAAAATATCCCCAGCTCAATCAACAAAGAGGCAGGAAAGTGCAGTCGAGGCAGTCAAACGTCGGTAAATTCCTTTGTGAGCCAATCAAAATTAAGATCATTCATGAAATGAATTCGTGGCACATTCATGATAAATTTTATGCACTTGGTTCTAGACTAGGTGATCCCACACTACGTCTTTACTTTAGGCTTATTATACCAACACTAACTACACTTATAATATTTCACGGCATCCCCCTCACGGTCCTCTCGCACCCCCATCACTAAAATCGTAATGGGCAAACAGTAATCGAACTATTCTATCTGGATAAATGTATTTTGGCTCTTATGACTCCTCCTATTTCGAGAAATGAAGAGAAATCAGACGTGACGTGGCAAATACTGGTTTTTATATAGGTTAGATTGTGAAAATTAGGCTCATTTAAAATCATTACAGATTTAAGTACATTTAATAGTTTGAATAGTATTGAATTTGTAAATAATTTGGAACAAAATATTCTCTCGCTCATTCTGAAGAGCAACGTAAGATAGTAAAAGTGTAAGACATGTTTCTGCAATATTTTAGAGACCTAAGTCGCATTCACAACAAGATATATTGTTCAATTCATTATAAATTGAATATTAACAATATTATTTTTCAGTACCAAGACAAGCATTCTTGTAGGTTTCAAAACTACATAACAATTATAAACCCAGCAGGTCGATAATAGTATTAATTAAAAATATAAAAGTTATGTTACAAAACGTAGATCATTAGTGGAAACACAAAAAATATAAGACTTCAGTTAGAAGCCTATTGTAAGGTATTTTTAAAGTGTACTTTACATTGTAATACAATAATAATCATATAAAGTTTTAACACTTTGATACACATTCCAGAGCACTTGATAGGATGTGCTGTTTTTAAAACTCGAAAAAGTTTGATAAAGTTGCAGAAACATTTTATTCAATAGTTTTAAGTATTGGCAGTATAATTCAAATGTGTAATACATGTTCAATGGAATGCTGTTTAAGAATATGTAGCATAACAGTTTCAAATATTACAATAAAAGCTATGCTTATAACGCATATTCATATATACTTATATGTATATTCATTTATCAGATCAGTATTGTAACATTCAAGTTTCAGTATTTTTATATGAACGTTAAATTAAATTATACGACTGTTTATTGTTTATTTTAGTTATTGATTTTGATTGGTTCTTTTTTTTGTTTGATGTTAGCGCAAAGCTACCTACATAAGGGATTATCTGTGCTCTGCTAGTATCAGGTATCGAACCACGATTTTAGCATTATAAGCGTCCTCAGACTTTACCGATAAGCGATGTATGCGATTGCTATCTCTTTCATAATAATGTACACTGTATTATTATTCTAAGCGATTTGTTTGGGGTGATAATAAGAGTTTTCATCTATATTATCACACCTATGCCACATAGCAGTAATTGCACGTCAGCGCGATTAGAATTGAAAACGTAGTTACGATAAGATGGTTAGTTTTCGTTGTTTTAACTCAAACTATCATAACTTTCGATTTCAAGTATCGAGTATGAACAATTCAGTACCGTAGATGTCACGAATAAAAAAAATAGAAATACATGAATTCCTTTTTTTTTCTAATTAAAATTTTGAATATAAAGAAATAATGTACCTAGGATGTAGTTACTGTTTTAAAACTGTTTAATCTTGTAACAGGTAACAATAGATTATTCACTGTAATATCACCATTACAGAAATTCGCTTTAATATCTCGTCTAGAGCAAACAAAATTATGCCTTAGAAAGACGAGACCCGTGTTTGCATAAATAGACATCAGCCAACTTTGAAATCATTTTCTTTACTAACGCACTTCGTAGTTGAATAATAACTTTTTTGCTTAGTATGTATATTTGATTTATTATTGAATTACGAAAAGTATATGAAATTACCCTTTATTTTAAACATTCTACCTGTGTGAGTTTTCTGTGAAGGTCCAGTATGGCCAGGTGGTTAGAGCGCTTTACTTGCAATCTGCGGTTCGAATCCTCACCCCACCAAACATGTTCGTCCTTTTAGCCGTGGTGGCTTATAATGTTACAGTTACCACTATCCGTTGGTAACAGTGTAGTTGGTTATGACCAGCTGCCTTTCCTCTAGTCTTTCGCTCCTAAATTAGGGACACGGCTAGCGCAGATAGCCCTCGTGTAGCTGTGCGCGAAATTCAAAACAAACCAATCGTTCTGTTAAAGAGTCTACTAGAACTTGACCCTTCTAGGTCGTAAAAGACCTAAATCCCGATCCGGAGAGAGAGAGAGACAATAGCGGTTACATGTTCATCAAATCATAAGTTTACCCTGACAGTTTAAAATAAGAAAAATCGTCTTGAACTATATAAATAATAGTGTTACCCGAGATTTGCAAAAACACGTCACTGCAAAAGTAGGGGCCTAATCGTTTTTTTTAGAGCGATTAACACTTTGTAGTAAAAATTAATCATAAGATAAAAATTCTTGTCTTTTATGCAAATTCGCTTGAAATTTTTATAGCAAACGTTAGTCCACCAGTCAAGTAGGCCAGTTAATATTGATGGCTCAACAACACACACACACACGCGCACGTATATATATATATATATATCAATAATGTGTAGCCGATGAACTTCGAATGAGTATCTTAACCAGAACGAAACATTTCATTTTATGGTAACAGTAATTACCCCAAAGAACTCACAGTAAACATAACACTTTAGTGTTGGAATTTTGCTTGTTTCATCTTTGCTACCACTGAAATAAGAATTGTTAGCCTCTTTTTATTTTCAACAAAAGTCTCTCTAAGATTATTACATTATGATGCCATAAGGAGTAAAATAAATATTTTTCTGCTTTCTCTCGTTTGTTCAATATCTCGTTTGTTTTTTTTCAGTATACTTATTGTTCGCCATTCTCGTCTGTATCCTGTCAATATCGTGTGTTTTGTCTTCGATCCTTCTTTTTGCTGGAATATTGACGGTAAGTACAATACTTCATATCACAAAAGACATTAAAAGTAACCAAACGATCAAATATTTCCCAAAACTTCATCCTTGCACTTCAGCTTCCTATCACTCTTGTTTTGTAGTTCTGTTTTCGGTATTTATTCCTCGTGGGTTTTCTGACGACTTCATGCAACCTTATTTACTGAGTGTGTGTGTGTAGTTTTTCTTATTCAAAGCCACATCGGACTATCTGCTGTATCCACCGAGGGGAATCGAACCCCTGATTTTAGCGTTGTAAACCCGAAGACTTACCGCTGTCCCACCGGGGGACTATTTATTAAGTAAACTAATGCCACCGAGCGTATTAATGAATACTGTATTTCATTAAAGTTCTGAATAAATATACTAGTTTGGAAAAACAAGAACAAAAAAATCATGATATTTTATTTTTTATATGCAATAAAGTGAAGAAGGTGTTTCAACATACTTAAAGCAGAAATTATTGCATATATTATATATATATATCTGATACTGTTATCATATTTCGGAACCATTTCTTCTATAGAAGATTATACTTAAGAGTTTCTGCTTTGAACATTTTCATAATTAATTATCCTTAGTTTCTATGATGGTTTCAAAATACGAAATTTCACAAAGAAAATTTAATTTTTCATATCATACACTTAAACCATAAATGTGTCAGTGAGGCTTTATAAACAATTATTTTGACAGTGTTTTCTATTAAAATAATTTACAAATGAATCATCTAGTAGTTTTGCTACTATGGTGAGAAATATCTGTTAATAAATACGTCGATCTCTAATAGGTGTTACCACATCTAAGTTTGGAATATTGGGTCGTAACTTCATACTTTTGTCACAGTTTTATACACAATTAACATTTGATATGTTTGGTTATTTTGGGGATAATAAGAAAATATATTTCATATTTTATCAGGAAATGTTAAATATTGGTGTAAAGTGAAATATTAATTGGTTGATAAAAGAGTTTATACATTGTAACAAAAAACTAGGATATTCATATTTTGGAAAGCCATTAAATGGTGACTTTAATGTTATTTTTTATCAATATGTCGAGTTCTTAAACTTGCAAGTCCCTCTGAAAACAACACAAAAGTTAATTAATAGGATGTGTTTACCGAACAGTAGAACGACGAAAAACAAGGTCTAGTTACTTTTCAAAACGAAAATCGTAACATGATATGGGCATGTGGACTGAGTGTTAACATTATTAGGAAGTAATGGCAGCGCATTAATTCTTTCAACTGGTTTCAGATTAATCGAAATGGTGTATTTAAGTGTTTTACACTCTCAAAAAAAGGAACCTATCATTCTATAGGTATTTGAAGAACTTGTAGCATTCTGCCACAATTTAATTCTGGCTCACAGACACACCCCTAAGGAAAAAAAACACCATTCCAAGCTTTTAGTTGTTGTTAAACAAATGTTTGAACAACTCTATTCAATTATGTTTCAGATTAATGTGAACAGTACCTGAACATGGCATACAGAGAACGCACCAACGAGTTACGATGTTCTTAACCAATAATTATCCATAGAGAAGAGACTGAAGTGGGGTACAATTAACTTATGAACAAACTTGTATTTTTATGATGTTTCCTGGTCATTAGGTTACATTAAATTATTAATACACAATTCAGAATTTTATCTGTCAAATTTTGTATTTTCATTTTAACCAATTGATAAGCTCTAAAGTGTATTTTTGTTAGTGCTTTATAAAAAATTTAATTGTTATTATTTCATATTCAATTTTTTTCTGTAAGTCTAGAATATAGTTAATTTGTAGTTATTATAAAAAAAACCTTCTATTACTGAACATGACTGTTGTAGCTGTTTAGAGAAATATCTAAGGCCTTACGTAAAGATCACATACTGTGCAACGTCAATAAAGGCCATATAGGGAATCACATATTATAAACAATGTCCCCTATTTTTTCTACGATATCAAAATGAATAAGTAAGGGAAATTGATATTATTAAATAAGTTTCGAGTTTATGCAATGATTTTTAAATTCAAACAATCAACATGCACACTTAAGTTTAAAATCCATATAATTGTTTAGCGAAAATTTGGCAACTTACTACCTATTGTTACGTAGGAACTTGAAAGAAAGCATATTCAAAAACGAAAATATAATCTTAAAATTGCAAAGATATTCCAATTTCTGTGTCACAACCTTTGATACAAAATATCACTTTACGTCAATGCCATTAAAAGTTAATTGAAATATGTGTTATTCAATTAATAATGAGTTTCAAAATATTGTTGAAAAATGTAAATAGAAGCAGTGTTTTAAATATTTTCGGTTTTAAAATGCAGGCTGAAGTATCATCAAAATCACCATCTCACGAAATAACTGACTTCTCTGTAATACAAATGTTTCTATATTTTTTAAGTGCTGCGGATTGAAGCATTCAAGTTTATATTGATTTATTAGTTTTGTGCATAGTGGAGTACTTACCTTTTTATAAAAGTTATTTTGCAAATTGTTTTCCGAGTTTAATATTACAAATTTTACCCAAACCTTTAATTATCAATCTTGAGACTTGTGTTTCATATAATTTCTTTTATGTAAAAAAAACTTATGTATTATATAAGTTATATTATATTGTACACATATAAATTATCTTTCTTTCTTTTTCTATTCTTGTTAAAGACTAGATAAGATTTCGAGGATTAAACGCGTATTTCAAACTGTAATGCTCTCTTTTGCACCTTTGCTAGCGCTGGATTCCTCGAATATTCTATCGATTCTTTTAACCCAAATGTCAAGTATCTATGATGTGGTTACTGTATATTCCAGTATATGTGTGTATGTTGCTGAATAATCTTTGAGTTTTCCACGGTGACCCTAATGTATATTTTCATGCTTACAAAAAATTATCGATTATTATTCAAACCTTATAAAGCTACAACAATGAAAATTATCCATATTAGAATATGCCATTTAATATAAGTGTGACAAAACAGAATTTTCGAAATTATTCGTTATATTTTATACTGTTATAGTATTTTTCTGTGAATGATCCAGTTAGCTGCTTGGTGGAACCACGCTTTATAAAGAAAAAAATCGTTATCTATTGCAACAGAACACGTTTTATCAAACTTTATTTATACATTTGGGCTTAGACGTATATTAGACAGAATGATACTTACTTATTTTTAAATATCAATTTTAGGTACCGTATTTTTCGGAATAAAAAACTTATCTTTATTTTGAAGACAAAGTTTTGGGGAAAAAAAGCTACAGTCGCATTTCAAAGATTTTTATAGAACAAAAATTCAATTTGATACTTTAAAAATTAGTATATATTGTTCTAAACACAAAAAAGCTCAAAACATCAAAATAAGAAAATACCGTAAATCAAAAAAAGGTTTATTGTTATTTAGTTTGGTTCAAAACCTACAAAATCTTCATTGATTTCACTGTAATTTATTATTTTATTATTTAGGGAGCATTACAAATAGTTATGTTCTTAAAAGAAAAAAAAACTACTATTGTA